CATTGCAAATTCTGGACATACAGTTTTTAGAAGATTATGAAACTGGTAATTTCTGTTGGTGAATAGAATGAATGGTTTATCTTTTAGCAGTGACTTTCATGCAAACAATATTTCTTGACTTTTTGTTTTGGCCACTTGATTAATATGTAACTGTACAGTTTCCAAGGAAGGTCTGGTCTTGTGTTTTTAAGCAGGAAGCAACCGCCAAATTTTGTCTTCTCCTTGCTAGGGTACACTCCTCTCAGGATTTCAGTTGTTTTGGACACACAATAGGAAGGGCATGTCCAGATGTGTGCTTTGACAATCAGCCTGTCCCTGTGTTGGGTGACACATCTTTGACATTTGAAGAAAGCCTGAACTTCACATGCATGAAAGTATAACATCTCTGGACTTAGAAATCAAACTCGAATTAAATTGGTTTCATTTTGAAAAGTCAAAAGACTTTAATACTTGGGTGTATGCTGATGAAATACCATGACTCTAAAGATTGTTAATATTCATGGAAGTCTGAAATAATTCATGACTTTCTGAAGTAATGTTAGATGATGTACGATGGTAAACAGTATCATTTACACTGAACCTTAAAAATTATTGACAAAGACAAGTTCCTAAACACTGGCTAAACCTTGTATTTGTTGTTATGATTTCTTGGTTTTATACTTCAAGCAGATTTTCAATTAACTCCACTGCATTCGGAGTAATTATTCATTTATTATAGTCAGTTTAGATATGGTAAAGATTAAAGGAGTAAAACAAATCATTTCAGTGACATAGGCTAGTGATACATTGTTATTATTCTGATTTATTTGCCTCTTGCATAAGGAAGATTTATACCATACATTTTTGAGTGACTCCTTGTTAGCATATACTTTTATAGATACTTATTTGCTAAAATAAAGTGTTTTGCTAAAGTAAAAAGCTATCTTGCTGTCTTCCTCTCCCCCATTGCTTGAGAAACTACAAATGTTCCTGGAATAAAAAGAAAAGGATTGTAGATGTGCACAGCACACATGCAGTAAAATGTACTTCTCTATTAATAAAAAAGTACAGACTATGATGCACCGCTGTTCTAAAATAACTACATGTGTTCGATGTTGAGAAATTAATGGCACGGAGCAGATGCCTTCAGTCATCTAGGAAGTGTGGTTTCCCAGTGTACTGCAACTGCATGCCCTGCAGTGTGTCATCTCACTTATGAAGGGGTTTTACATGTTTATAAAAGTGTGTTAAACATTGGTAAAGTTTATTTTATGCATTATGCATAAAAGTTGTCATTAGGATTTAACAAAGCAGCTTGCAGAGAAAGATTACAAATAAAATCTCTGTATACAAAAACGATTTGGATGGTTTAGCTAGATGGTTCTGACTTAAAAAAATTAACATTTCACTTACTGTTCTCAAACATTCAGAGAAAGAAAAACAGCACTAACTGAAAAGAATGAAATATATGTTGTTATAGGAGTGCCTGGGAGGATCACTATTACAGAGGTTCTTTTAGTATTTCCATTATAAATCCTCTTTATTCAGTGTAATATCATGGTAATTTCAAATCACATTTGGCTTTAACTTGGCAAATAATCTGTCAACACAAAAATTCAGTTCATTTATATGTATGCATGCATTTATTCTTACATGTGCACAGACTATATCGTGTTCACATGTGGCTGATGTGTAGATTAAAAAATAAGTAATGATTGTAAAGCTATTCTTTTTTTGGTCCAGTTTGCCTAGCCATCAGTTTAAAGAAGATTACAGATTGGATTTTCAGAAGCACTTAGCATTGCCTTAAATGGTCACATTTAAGTTAATGGTAAAATTCCTATGACTTAAATTGCAGCAAAGTTAAAAATCTCACTCCATCCTTTCAAATTGTGTTTAGGGGTCTAGCTTTAGGTGTCGTGGTGTAAGTGACAGACTTAAGGGCATAGTAACATTTTTGTGAAACTTCAAGGGGATTACTCAGAGCTCTTTTTTGCCTTTGTATGCTCTGTATGTATGACTATATAAAAAGCCTAAAGCACTAATCTAGACACCTATATTAGACATTTAATTGAATCAGTTTTGGGAAACAGTTTTCCTCTTTAAAAACAAACTTGAAAGGATGCTTTTATGTTAGATCTAAATAAAAAGAAAAGACCCATTAGGAAGTGAAAGATGCCACGAGTAAACAACATGGATGAATGTCATGGCTAGAGTTATATGGCAACAGTATGACAGGTGGAGGTATCAATAAGGATGTAGAAGAAACTCACTGACAATAATAAAAAGACACTTTCAGCGGCCATACTTTTATTTTGATGATGCTGTGTTTTCTGATTTTTTCCAGTTGGACATGTTCCTTTTTGCTGTATTTTCCACTGCCTCATGCACCTGTGCCTAGTTTACACATTATCTGTCAGATACTTTTATCTATATACATTTTGCAAACTAGAACAGAACTTCTCCAAAATCAAGAAGGTGCCTCGAGCACCTTCTGTATGAGATGGGCTTAGAGAGTTGGTTTTTTTTAGCCTGGAGAAGAGAAGGCTCTGGGGGCACCTCACAGCCCCTTCCAGTACTTAAAGAAAGCCTACCAGAGAGCGTGAGAGGGACTTTTTACAAGGGCATATAGTGATAGGACGAGGGGGAATGGCTTTAAACTGAGTTTGTAGTCATGTGTAATGTGGAGTACACTAAAAGCTCTGGGTTTAACTTGGTACTTCCTGAATGGAATATTCTCTTCTGTCCCTTGTGTCTTTGTCTTGGTAGACTGCAGTGAAATAAAGAGCCCAGGTCAGTCTCTCCTCCACACACTGCAAGTTTAAAACATTCTGTTAATGTTTTTCTGTAATTCTGTATTTAATGCAACTTTATTTTTCCTTAGTATCTTAAAGTATATTGTGGTATAACTCAAAATTTCACATTGGGTTCTCTTGCAAAGATCCAAAACATTACATTGGGAAACTTCAAAGCAAGAAATCCAGAGGAAATATTTTCTACTCAAGAGACCATTGAAATACAGTTATCACAGTACTGAGAGGGTTTCATGAGCTTTTTTACCCTTAGAAGACCAGTCATATCTGATCTGGAGTGACTACCAGCTAAACTTCAACCTGACTTAGACTCCTTCAAACTGCTCTGTGGCCTGCAGGAAGCATACAGATCCAACATCCTAGTCCATTTCTGCCACTGTTGAAGCCCAACTTTTTCTCTAACTTACTATTGTCCACTTCTTGCACTTACCCAGCTCTGAGGCTTTCCAGGATTTTCTGGGACCCCAAATATAGTTAGTAGCAAGCGCTATGTGAATTATGATGTGTGTGGGATACCACATTGCTATGAATTTCCATGGAGCTGATTGCCTGTCATTCTGCAGAAAACTGTCAGTTTTCAGAAAGGATAATTCTGACTACTTTATTTACTCTCTACAACAAAATGTACTTGATGGAACTAGAGCTTTAGGTACCTAGAAGAAATTAGAGCTTTAGGTATCTTTCAGGAAAACTGACCTACAGGACTAGAAAACAGTGGTGTCTGTGTCACAGACCCTTTCATTATCCTGGCCAGTAATTATGCAATAAGGGACATCTTTGCCATCCATGCAATAATTTTTTCCTTTTGTGCCGCTATACAGAGACCAAGTAGGGGAGGAAATTTACTATGTGTGTTTCTGGTTTTTGTGTTTTCTTAGCAAGAAATTACAAGGCCTAGTAAATAGAGCAGGTTCTTTATACTCATTATGGACTATTGTTTGAAAATGCTTTGCTGACTTCAGAGGAAAACCCATAAATTTGTTAGATGTGTTTTGCTAAGTATATATTTGACCCAGAGTGAAAATTATTACTACAAGAGATTTCTGAAGAATAAATGGGAGTTATTTCAGCTCTGAAAATTGCAATTTGGGTGGCTGTTTGATCTGACCCATGACATAATAAATGAGCATGTACATATTAAAATGACATAGACTCATTGGGCCAGGATGAGCAACAACACAGGCTGTGCTACTACTTGTTAAGTTTAATTTGCTTTTTTCTCCACCCCTACAGAATATTGTACACTGCATTGTTTGGTCCTCAGCATATATGGATTAATGATGAGTTAGTAAACCATTTATAGGGTTTTTTTATGACTTAGGATGGAATTTCATGTGCTTACCAGATTAACACTTCACACAATAAAAAAAAAACCAAAACAATGGGTGATCTTTCTGTGCTTTTCTGATGTCTTGAACCTAGAGATTGCTGAAGGAAAACGCAATCTCTAGTATAAATAGAGATAGCATTAAATTGAGTAACAGCTGCTGAAGAACTGCTCTACTAACCATGCCAAAGAGATGTTTCATATTCTTGCTGTGTTTATTCTTTGTTCCTGTTCTGCATAGTACTCATGCACTGAGATCAGGTGATCTAGGTATTGTAGGGATCTGAGGAGCTGCTGGTGACAAGAGCATTTTCAGCCATGTATTAATATAGTCTTTACACTGCTGGCATAACACAAAAAGAATGTAAAAATATCTGGAAGTGATGTTATTTTGGTCTGGTTTTCATAAAACCAGAATTGCATTCTCTGCTTGAACCATTTTATCTTTAATTGATCATTTCTTAGTTCTTCGCCTAATCAGAGATTTTTGTGTTTTGCGAAAGAGAGGAACTTGCAGCAATCATTATTGTGTCTTGACAACTTTTCTTTGTGAAGTGGAATTATTGCCTAACAAAAAGCAGAGATTGCCCTCAACTACTATAGACTAGGACATCAGCGGTCAAATGAGGTCTTGGCATCGTGCCATAGAACAGGCTGCCTAAAATTCCGGATAATCTCCCCCATCATCACACATCTTGTAAAAGATCTGGTGATTCTTATAGAGCCCCATAAGCACAAACAAATAGTTTGGTAAAAAATTCAAACATAAGTACCTTATGCAATTGTTAGGCATTAATTTTGATAACATTAAAATCACCTTTCTGATTGCACAATAAAGACTCAGAGTCAAAAATAACAAAGCCTATTTTTTCTCTTTGCAGGCATAGATGTGTGAGAATGATTTCATTACTGAAACCACTACTAAGGGGAGGAATTGAGGAGGTGAAAATGGGCAGATACTGATTCTGCACCAGAAGGTATGGTTTTTAGCATTGAAATACTGTCTTTCATGTGATGCTCAAGAATAACATTGTTTGAAGAGAAACTGACATTGTATAATTCAAATTAATACATCTAAGCATGTCTTAAATTGCACTCCAGCAAAACAAGCATTAACTCTGTTTAATTATCCAGCTAGTGGTATGAGTAACCAGGTGAAGACAAAATGCAGCTCTTATGATCAGAGAAAAAACAATATTCACTAACAAAAGAAGGAACAGAAAGTTGTAGGTTCATGACTCTGTCATAACTGGTGTGTTGTTATTGTACCCCTGTAACAGGAGTTTTGGTTCCCCCAGACCATTTCCATCAACATATCTAATTGCCTAATTCCACGTCCTTGCTTTTGTGGACATGAAATAAAAAGAAATCCAATACATGGACAAAAGAAGCTGCAGCTAAAGTGTGGTACTCTTGACATTTTTTCCAGCAGAATTTTCTGAGCTAAACACTGCTAGATCAGTCTAGGGTGACTCGTGGCCAGAGTTTCAGATTAATATGTACTTGCTAATCTGTTGGACTTTAAGGAGACGGCTATTGTACCTCTTTCTGCAGACTGAATATGATTTGTCTGTACCATAGGAACGCAATTAGCTTGTGTATTACAATGAACTGTATACTGGGAATATTACAGGCTCTTGCCTTGTACATACTTTTGCCTTGTATCTAGTAGGTGACATAAACACTAAGATACCTGTTAAATTAAATGGGATTAGGGTTGCCTCATGGTTTATATTACAGACCACCTACCTGATGTGAAAGCACAGAAATCAGTAGCAGCATGAATGACTCGGCGGGCAGAGTTGCTATTAAAGCATTAATGGTTTCTATCTGCAATCCATATTACATGACGATGAGAAAAGTGAGATTAATGAAAACAATCAATGGTAATTTCTTTGGTTTTACTAAATAAGAGTCTATTTATAGTTTCAGTGTTGAAATTGAAGTAATGTTAAGTCTTAAACTAGAACTAAGTTTTCAGTATTGGCATTACTTTCTCTGCATATTGGTCTCTTAATGCACTTGGAGTGAGTTCCAGGGATGGAAAATTTTTCAAATTAGTAAAGTTCTCTATAGCATGTTGCTGTTTTATTTTTTAAAAGAAAGGAATGTCTAGTTATAGTAACAGTGCCTATCTTGGAAGCAGCTGATACTACTTTTCTGTCTGTAATCTGCAGTAAGACGATTCTAGATTTCAGGAAAAATGCTGCAGAAATCTATTTCTTATTTAATTTCTACTGTTCTCTTGAACAGCAGTTTGCAGAATGCATCTGGGTGTACAGCTAATGACCCATGAGCAATAAGCAACTGTTTAAGTAAAATGCACTAGGAAAAAGCTTTTACCAAACAGCATTTTAATATTTTAAATAGATTTTCCATTGCAGGCTCTTAGTAACTGGATTAGTTTTCTGATGTGTTCTGACAGAGCTGTTGTTAGGGATACTCCATTAACTTTGTCTGTCATCTTATTTTCCCCAGTATCCGGCATAACACCCTTATATTTCATAATTTGTATTGCTATCAGTGCTGATTTGTAAATGTGCAAATTATAATTAACAACGGCCACTACTTCTATTAAATATTAAATCATTCTTGCAGCCTATATTTTCCACAGCAGATGGAGCCCTGTGGTATGCAAATAGACTTTCCTTAAGTAGTCAGCATTTTTTACCAAAATTTTGGCTTTAAAAATGCTTTCTTTTTTTGTTTGCTCTATGTTTTCTCTTGCATTTGGGTTAATATTTATTCGCTGCAGATTCTCTTTCTCCCCATAAGAACTTCATGGACTATTACATTCTAGCACTGAGGTTTTGTTTCACTTCATTAATAGCCCCTTAATCATATAGCTTACTTGTAAAGTACAAATGCTTGTTATTTGTACTTATGCTGCAGTATTGCATAAGAGGCATTTAGTTATATTTTAATATGTATAGCAGAAGCAAAAATGTTGGGTACACCAACATAGTTTTTAATATGAAAACCAATTTACGTGCACAGTTTTTTTCCCCAGAATAAGCAAAAGCATTTATGGTTTTATATTGTGTCTTAAGCATTCCATTAAATGTCATCAGCTGATTCAGGAAAATGTATTGCAAAATTACTAGAGAACTGTAAAATGTGTAAATGTAATGAATGCTCAGGGCATAGAAAGGATTGAAAGTCCAACATATATCAGAGAACTATAAAACAGCAAGAAACATCGATAGAACATTACATTTTTCTAATGTATAGTACCTTAAGCATTAAACTCTTATTTTTGGTGTTTATTGCTGTGCTGTTTTATTAAAGAACACTGATCCAGAGTTAGCAAAGGCTTTCTAATACTGAGAGGAATCTGAAAGGCAAGCAGCATCATTCAGGAAATGGTTTCACTATCCACTCGAGCAATTGCAAATTAAGATTTTTCAAATGATTGACTGTGAGATTATATCCAAAATAAGGACAACCCATTGTTTTACCACATTTTAAAATGGACATAGGAACATGGAGCTCAAGGACATTACTGCCACATTAACCAAAGAGTAATGAAAACTTCTCTGAATGAACATCTCAGTGAGCTGAAATGGTCTCAGCAATATAGAAACGAATTGTAACAGGTTAGGGTCTTGTCTTCCTGCTGGTTTAGTGGGAGTTGGAATTAGCATGCTAAGTGGGATCAGCAGCAGTAAGCAACTGGACTGGAGTATCCTGGAGTCCATGCTGTGAATGCATTTTGGTAGAGTCATACTTCTCATAACACTGAGGTAGAATTTAATCACAGATATTGATATATATTAAACTGAAGTTTTAAGTGATGTGGAATATAATTCTGGGATGCCATCTTATCTGAGCAGGAGCAGCTCTGGCCACTCAGATACTTTACATCTATCAAAAAGGTACTTTTTAGGTATATTCCACAGCAGGAGAAATTCAGATAACAGAGCAGGACCTGATGCCAACCATTTGGGAACAGTTTTATATCAGCGTTGTTATTAACATTAAGAAGAATTGTGATTTGAAGGACACTGCTGGGACAAAAATGGAAAATAAGTTTTAAAAAGTGAGCAGCTTCTTGCTAAGCAAACAGAGCAGGCTTGCCATAGTTGAGCTTTTGTTCAAAAACTACACCGTAATATGCAGGGGACCACAGACAACTTTAAACCAATGGAAGTACTAGGAACAGTCTGCTTGTGGCAGCCTGGAACTGCCTGTGACTTACTTGTTAACCAGCTGATTTATTGTCTACAGAACCTGGGCCTGAGGGAACGGAAATTTCACCAGTAGCCTTCAGCCTGTGCTTTCCCAGAAATCTGCTTTTACATACAGAGGGTAGTCTTGATGAGTTTGATGTTTTTATGTAAATTCTACAGTAGAGAGAGGTTTAAGGAGGCAGAAATTGGACCACTTTATTGAAATGAAGAGGTCCATGTATATTTAAGTATTACAGAAAGTTGAATTTCAGCAAAATTTCAGCCAGAGCCATTCATCTAATAGTAGATGTGACCAGTGTGTTCAATGAAATGTCTGAGGTGTTTTCTTGTGAAAGGAACTTCATAGGAACTTACATGAACTTTCAAAGAATGTTTACTCCAGAAGCTGTTGTGCTGTGCTTAGGAAATAGTTGTATCCTCGTCTTTACCTCCTTAGCACACTGCCACTGCTGTTCCTCACATGCACAATTTGAATACCTTTGAGGCTTATAATAAAAGCACTGGTAAGAGTTGTGCATCAGTACCCTTGAAATAATTCAGTGCTTTTGGGGATTAATCAGTTATCTTGGATGGGCAATCCACAGGCGTTTACAATGAAGAGGAGAAGCAGGACTCCTAAGCATCCATTTTCCCTGTCCCTTAATCCTGAAACTTTGTTCATTCTTGGCTGTCCAGTGATTGGAAGATCTTAGAAAAATTAGGAAATATCTTAGCAGTTGTGGGTAGTAGTGCTGACTGTAAGAGAAGATGGTCATTCTATACGGCTGATTCCACACCTGAGATTCATGGTCTCAATTAGGGGCCACAAGAACTCCACATTAGATCTCCTGTTTGCAGCTGGACCCTAAAGGAGCATGTCTGCAGTCTGTCATACTGTGCCTCCACATCCTTGTCTATTCTTACTCTAATATAAGAATTTTGCTTCTCTACGCAGAATAAAATGGTGGCAGTGTTTTGGCTTTCTTCTACCCTGCAAGGCAAATTCATTTGTTAATCTTCTGTCTCTAAAGTGATGTGTATTGGAAAGGAGGGCAGGATTAGATTTCCAGCTCTTGTTGAGTATGTATTTATGTAGGCAGTCTTGCTGTATCTTTGAGCAACAAAATAGGATATCTGGGGGAAAAATGTTAGTAGCACAATATTTAGAATTCATAGAGTAGACCAGAAGAGATCTAAATAGAAATTATAGCAGATCTAATAAAAAATATAAACAAACATAATAGAAGTATAAAAATATATATAAATATATAATACAACAGTTCTAATATAAATATAATTTTTTAAACTTTACATATAAATCTAATACAATTGAAATGAACACCTATTGAAAGAGGTTATAACACAAAAACATTTCACTGGACCATATCTAACCATAATACATCTAACATGTTGTCTGGGATTCTGATATCCAAGGCTGAAATTACTTTTTAGTATTTTTTTAGTAATTATTAACTTATTAATGCTTTAGTAGTATTAAAAGAATAGAAAATGACATGAAGACACTATTTAAGAAGGGACCATTTCATAGTGGTGTGGAATTTGACACCTGATAGTAGTCTAGTGAATATGAACTTTAAATCGTCACATTTCCCTGAGAAGTAAAAAGTAAGAGTTAAATGCCTAGCAAAGTGCATACATAATCTCTGTCATGTAAAATGTCCTGAATAGTAGACAAACTCTTAATTGCTTTCATGTTGATTAAAACTATGGCTTTGTTCTAAATGGTAATGGTAATAAATTGTGTTGAGGTCCAGAAGACTTCACAAGGACAGAACCTCATTATTCCT